GAATACACAGCAGTCCATTTTGTGATCGCGTGTTGCTGGAGTGCGCATAAGCACACAGGCTAACCAACGAGATGATATTCAAGGTCATGTGATGCCATATCGTTGTCTATGTGGCAGCGGTCTGGGCAAACTATAGCCATAAATGTTCCATCCTAAAGGTTCGAAATTGTCACAATCCGTGAAGGTGAATGTAACGCAAAAGCAGAACGAAATAGCGAAAGGCGAATACTGTGTAGTCGATCCCATAATTAAGCTGTTCAAAATAGATGTGAACAGGTTGTCGATGTTTTTGCTTGTTGAGAAACAAATCAGTTAACTTAGCACGAAACTGGTGGTGAAACTGTGGTGATCCGGGCCTACGAGATGACGCATACTCGGGAACGACAAGTTACAGTTTTAAGACAACTGTGATCAATCAAACTTCACGTTTGAAGTCAGCAACGTGCGTACGTTTCACTGCTTCTGGACTACATACCATAGGTAGATTGTACCAGCCAATCAGAGACTGTGCGGCCCAGACAGAAGCAGAACGACTCGAGAAATACTGGAAAGCGATTGGCAGAAGCCCGGATGATCAATGACCATGTTTTGTACATATTATTCAATCTTCCTTATTTCTTCCAATAAACGATCTACCACTCCTGTGGCCTTTTCCTCGCGTCTCAGTTACGTGGGACATTGCGTGCAAGTGCCAGTGTGGTCCAGTGCTTACGTGATCTAGTCCGTGATTCCTAATCCGTGATCCTTATTGCGTGGTTCGTATTTCGAGTTCAGTGCGTACTACTACTCCCATTAATACGACCACTACACTTATTGAAAGGATATTTTCATCTGGTCATCTATAAACTTATTGGTTGATTTGAATAACTTAATTACAACGGTTTCGTCATAAACCCAGGTATCGCCTCTTAACAGTTTGTGGAGCCGTTCGCTAACAAATTGCTCAATAGGAGCGATTGGAGAAAGTAAAGTCCAGCAATCCGTCTCAACCATTATATCAGCACACATCTTTATATAGTATATAAAATATGGAGAAAAACACAATGCTGGAGCAATAGCAATTAATGTGAACTGACGTGAATGAACACTTCTCACTGACTATGTATTATCTCTCTCTCCGCGTTCGAGAGCCCTCGGTTTGTAGTTGATTGGGATAAATGCATGCACTCCAATAATTTGGTCATCGATTAGCTTTCTCTGCCGTTTTCACATCAACTGGCCACTAACCTGTTATTTGCTCGGTTCTTTGCTCACAACGTCTTATTCAGAAAAATATTCGATGCAACTGCCGGTCCATTTCCATTTCTCCCGCAAAAAGTCTATCATTTTGCCGCAGAACGTTTTACAAATACCCCAGTTGCCGTTCAAGATCAGGCGTTGGCATGGCTTGAGGTAAGTACCAGATTTGCTTGTTTGATTAAATCCTGGCTATAGCAATAACTAGTCAAATAGTATATCATTTTAGGGAAGGGGATATTCATTTTATGGGCCACTTGAGGTTAGTTTCATTTTGAGAAAAAAATTGAGATTCACAATGATTACATGGCTGTTTATTCGTTGGATTCGATCGTTGAGATCACTGGAAAAGTGGAGGTTGGTTAGTGAGTGGAGCTCAAGCATGTATATCAATCGAATTCGGGCACATATAGGATGATTGCGGAGATAAATGCTCACCCATTCAACTGTCATCCGCGTACGATAGTGAATCTGACTTAGTAGTCGACTGCAAACCCCATTCGAATTCGGAGAGTGCCTCAGTCACGTCCACAGTGGGATTTGCTTCAGTCAGGTGTGAAAATGCTCTGTGAGGAATCGATGCAGTGTGCCTCCACACACAGGTATACTTACAAATCCTTTCATACAATCGCTTGTTCCACGAGAAAAGAAAGGAGTTTCCAAGTTAAACCAACATAACTTGCATTCTTAGTGATGCATTTGTTTCTGACACAGATGTAAGCATCGACAGATTTACTGGAGCCAGTGTTTATTTTTCAATGATCAAAATGGTCATCATTTAAATGCGTGCTCCGATGAGGTCCCTTGATTGTATATTTCTCCACAGATCTTGACCAGCGTAGAAGTTCCTATTCCAATGAAGGAGTTGCTCACCATGTTTCGAAATGGAGTGGAATCATTCCAAATCGAAATTCTTCTACCGCCATCTACCATTCAGTATGATGGTGACGAAGATCTGAACGTGAAAGATGAATCTAGTGACGAATCCGAAATTGATCCTCATGAGCTATCAGTAGATTTGACTGAAACACGTGTAGACGATAACCCTTTACCGACTATGGATGTGGAGGGTGAAGATGATGACTATGAGAATCTTGTTCAGTCCTCTCGTCGTCGTTCAATACGGCTAAACAGTGCTGATAAGACCACAAAGCGTTATTCCGCTGAGGACGGCGGCAGTCCAGCCGTGTCTGAGGAGGAGGAAGATGATGCTCCAGCTCCAGATGAAACCGTGGGTTTATTAGGAACCAGTCGAGGTACGTCCGTGACAGCTTCACTACGGAAAGCTCGCAAACCGTTAAGACGCAAGCGGGAGGTGGGACCACGAAGCAAGTCCAATGTGGCACGCACTGAGTCTGGTTTGCGTATACAAGAAGAATTTGCCCATTCACAACAGCTTAGTCGATCAAATCGGACGCGATCACAACCACGACAATCGAACGCTTTGGCAGATTCTTCTGGTGACGCGGCAGGCATAGGTAGTAGCGGTCTACCTGGTTCGTCCCGATCCGGTTTGGTCAGTGGCAGACGACGTCAGAGTCGCACGCGTTCGCGACCTGCAGAAGTTCGAGAGTACCGGGCCACGGAGTGTCTGGCCCAAATGCTTAATATTGCCTACAGACAGGTGAGTGCACTATAATATTGCAAAAATGAATAATCTTAATGTAATTAAAAAAATGATTTGGGGATTGCTGTTGACTCAGAGAAACCAACAGTATTTGTACGGTGTTTCAGTCCTTTTTGTGCGTATGTACATTGAATCGTTGAAATGAGTAATCTTTGTGAACGAGAACAATAATAGGAAGCACTGAAACCCATTTTTTAGCTCTTTTTACTCATTGGACGGTGGTGGCCGAGTTGTAAAGGCCAGCAACTTATCGCTCCAGACGATGTGTGTTCAAATCCTACAAACCACTGCCCGACTAGCTCCATTTTGAGTTTTACGGTAGCCCTTTGATTGGTCGCATCCTACTTGCTGAAAATTATATCATTATAGATGTTTATTAAAAAAGTAAAAATGAAACGAAAAGAAACAAGAAAGCAAATTTGGCGTGTGTATGGATGTAATCGGCTGTACACAATGTGAAGTGATCTGATGAGCAGGCAGAATGCAGCCTGCCTGATTAGAAGTATGGTAATTTTTTCACTAAAAGGAACACGTGTATTCCAAAAAAATTGGAGCGCGAAATGCGGACAATTATTATTAACAGGCCGCACGGTGAAATTGGTATTGGGTAGTCCGAAATAGATCATTCTGAGGCAATAGGGTCCACTTTGAATGATAACCATTAGACTGGTCTATTGCTATGTCTGATCAGATAAAATTTCCCCAAAACACATGACCAGGTTCGCGGTCCTTGTCACTTATCAGAAATGTGCACCCGTTAATACTTTGTAAAGTTATTCTTATACGTCTACTTCCAAATTGGAATTAGGCTTCCTCTGCATCGCAATTTGTTAATTTGTGGTGGTCCTAGCATATGGCGCAGATGGCGCAAACCACGGGGAGACAGGTTACAGTTTTCAAACAACTGTGATGAGTCAAGCTCCCCAGGTGATACCAGCAAAGCGCTTACACGTGAGAACTTCTAGACTACAAACCATAGGCCGATTGTACCTACCAGTGAGAAGCTGTCCGGCCCAGATAGAAGCTGTACGACACCAGGAATACGAGCACGCGTTTGGTGGATGCTTGGATGTCCAATGAACTTCTTTTGTACATATTATTTAAACCCCATGATTTCTTCCAATAAAGGAACTGCTGTTCCTGTAACATTTTCCTAGCGTCTCGATTGCGTGGGATACCGTCGTGCAAGTGCCAGTGTGATTCAGTATCCGTGATTTCTGATAGGTGATTCGTAATTCGTGATCAGTTCGTAGTTCAACTATTGCATAATTCTAAACAAGCTAACCTTAGAATAATTGCGATGTTTCTGTTATTTTCGTAGATTAGATGCATCTAACCCCAGCAACCTGGACACTATATATGTATATATATATATATTTATACCAGCCCTAATAAAAGTATAGGGTCAACGCAATAACCATTTAAAATGCAACAGTGGGTATTGGGTACAAATGAGTGATACAATGGGAAACTGATCGCACAGAGGAATAAACTAAAACATTTTCTAAAATGATAGTTCAGCGATGCAATGAGCAACTTAGACACAGTATAGCAACAAGAATTTCATTGTCTAACGATTTGGCCGTTACATTATGCCGCAGTGTATCATGTAAAATGAACTAGTTAAGGTCATCAACACAACGAACTGGGTCATGTATTCGAAACCCACCACAACCGCTCCTCCTTTCGGTTTATCTCTGTTTCTCCAGGAAGGTTGTACAATTTATTCCATACATTTATTAAATACAACGAAATGAAAAAAATTGTAACTTATTCTATTGTATACAATTGTATTGTTGTACGTTATCCTTCATGATAAAATTGTCCGGTAAACAACACAAGAACATTGATTAAATGAATGTGGCACATCAGGTGGATGAAAAATTCAATATCAGAGG